TATATTACTTGGCACCTACACTGGGTGGCTATGGAAAAATAATTGGTACACCCTTTTCCAGAGGCCGTTTCCATTGCTAAGTCTGGAGCGGAAGCAATTTCCTTCCTGTTTGGATTCTTGGCCTTGCTTGAATCAGGTGTGTGACCTTTGTCTTTTTTCCTTGCTTCCTGTTAAACCTCCACCTAATACTGTTTGTTGCCTCATTAGGGACATTAGGATTGACGGCTATGTAAGAGGCTCTTTATGGGCTTGTGAAGAGAATAATATAGAAATCTTACAGAAAAGATTATTATTGTTGGGAGGGACTATTAGAGCAGTATTTCCTGCCGTTCAATCTTGGATTCTACTTTTAATCGGGTCTCGGCGACATTCTTGGTGTAAGATAGTAATCCCCAGGAAAACTCGCTTGTTATACCCTTTGAATTTTATCCCACAAATTTATCATGAATATGAGATAGTTCATATTTTATATAATTGTAAGGAGATCGGGCATCTGAGCACTGACTTTAGGGTGCTTAGTCCTTTCGCTATCCGAGAGTCTATTCCGTCTCTATCACTCTTGTCCAAGTTCGTACTTTTAAAATTTTTTTGTTTTAAAGATCTTGTTCATCAAGAAAAATCCTTTTTGAACTTAGACATCACTAAATACAAAGACAGAATAGAATATGGCTCGTTCAAACTCCAATCCTACTCACGAACGCCGGCCTTTCCAAGATCTAACCAAAGCATTGCAACATCAGACACCTCCTGATACCCCTTTAAGTCAATGTGCATTTTTACAAAGTAATGCTAATCATTTTGCAAATAATTTACTTGGAGACCAGGAGGGAGGAGTACTGCAAATAGTAGGAAGTGATATAAAGTTAAATCATATAGTCTCCCATCATAGGGCTATCCCTAGTGGTAACCCGATCATGACAGACTTGCATTGCAGAATAGTATTTCTGCGACAAACAGGGACAGGAGTGGGCAATAACTTATCCCAGATATATGTCACTCTTAGCCCCGAGGACTATTTGTGTTGCCAGCTGAACGGGTGCTTTGATGACCCCAATATTTTGCTGGTGGCTACTCAGATAGCCAATTGGGATGACTCAACAACAGGGACTATTCATGGAGGAACAGGCGGAGCGCCCCCTATAGAAGTGATAGTGCAAGGAGAAAAAGTAGATAGAGGGGAAGTATTTTTATTATTACAGGACGGATCGTTGCACGAAGTGTATAAGCTGGCTGGTATTCCTATACCACCTCCAAAGGATATGGAAGAACGCAAACGCATAATAATAGCCATGTTTAAAATTGCAGAGGACAGGACAGATGTTCCTCCTTTGATTAAAGAGACCAAAGGGAAATATCACTTGGCTAAGACAGAACTTCAGACCCTTCTGTTTGAGGCATTGAGCAATCAGATGGTTAAAGATGTAAATAATACTAAAAAGGCTCTAATAGCCATGACTGCAAAATTATTACAATTATCAAAGATGCCAGAAAAACTGAAAACAATACCTTCAGCCCCTCTTTTAGATCCCCCTGAGTATGAATCGGCGATAGCTACCCAGGTATATCCAGTAGTTAAAAGTGAGGTAAGATCCCAGCAGGGCCCTGCAAATGATCAAGGAGAAGCTCCAGCACCAGTTATTAGCACTTCTACTAGTCTTCGTAATTTTTCTCCTGATGAACTGGCAAAATTGAAACGTCTGGTTCGACAACAATATGGAGGAAGTTTTATTCAGGGATTAATAAACATATTCAGGGCAGGAGAGGAATTTACCCAGCTAACCCCAGAAGAAACACGTATAGTATATTCAGCTTCACCCCAACATGTAGTCCCTACAGATGTACCTCCCTGGAATGCATGACGTGCAGTTCAGCAACCCATTCAAGATAGATTGGACTATCAATATTTTGTCTGGTGGCACTTATGGACAGCCAGGCAAGGAGGTGGGTTTCAGATGTTTGAATTACTTGTTAAAAAAGCTCATGACCCAGATGATCTATATTACTTAATGTTAGCACTATCAGTAAGCACAATGTTTGTCGGTAATTGGGGCCCAGAATGCGGACAGTGGAATCATGATACCACTGTTTTACCCTATCCTAAATTAGTAAATCAAAACTGTGAAGTTTCTGAAGCAATTCGAACTTTGATCTTGGCCAGTGGCAGACGAAGAATTAGGGATGTTATGGAAGGAATTTGGGACTTGTTCTCGAAGGAGCGTAAGTCCCCCAGACAAGTAATGGCTGTTAACAATGTCGGGGAAAGCGGACACGCGTATAACTCGTACAGAAGAAACGCGACTGTTCCCCCATATAAAAAGACAGAACCAAGACGAAACACGTGGTGGAAATTTCTTAGAGAAAAAGGGGATGACATGACCACCTGGAATGGAAAACCAGATTGGATGCTTGAACGTAGAGCACGACAGATGGGGTATAAGGATATTCCCCAGGGGCAAAATCCCAAGACTCAGTCTAGGGAAAATAGAAAGGTTGCCCAATTGGACAGCCAGGAAGACGTGGATTTATTGCAATAGGATAGCCAGGAGGGGGGTTGTTGTGCCTCACGACGGATGGAGCAACTTTCTCTGGCTACAGAACCCCGCGATGATGGTGATTTTAGACCTTTTGCCTTTTTACAATGGGAATGAAAAAGTAAATTATTCTTATTAGACACAGGTGCACAAATTACAGCAGTCACTGAAGGAGGGATAGAGACAGGGAAAATTAGTGGAATATCAGCCGTGACAGGCCATGGAATAGCGTATGAAGTTCTCGGCAATCTAGAAGGGAGACGAGTTAAAGCTTACAGGGTTCAGGGACTCAAACACTGTATTTTAGGAATAGATAATATGAAATATAATTTTTCAGCTTCTGATTTTAAACTTTGCAGAAAAGTCAAAATGTCGCCAATGCCCCCGTTATCCCATTAAAAGGGGACCTATCTATACACCTCAATTTCCAATTAAGAAAGATTCACATGCAATCATAGATCAATGGTTATCGGATTTACAAGACAAAGGAATACTAATTAAACAAATTAGCCCACATAATTCCCCTATTTTTGTAGTATTTAGTGGAAGTAAACCACAAGTAGTAATAGACTTAAGGAAGGTAAACCAATCTACAACGTTTTTGGGAGGGGGAGCAGTGGCACACAAACCTCGTTTAGAGTTACAGGTACGAAAAACTTTGGCGCAGATGATAAATCCTTTTATGGCAGTATTGGATTTAAGCCAAATGTTCTATAGTATTCCGTTGGAAGATCCGGAAAGGGTCATGAGTATTACATGGTGAGGGGTTCAATACGGATTTACTAGATTACCAATGGGATGGCACAATTCTCCAGGCATCGCTTCACAGTCTGTAAATAGTTTAATAGCAGGAATTGAGGGCGTTTTTGTATATATTGATGATATTTTCCTCTGTACTGAGGGGAAAGAAAAATGCTTAAAGTTAATTGATCAAGTTGAAGAAATTTTAAATGCCCATGACTTTTGAATTAATTTAGAGAAAAAACAAGGACCAGCCCAGACAATACAATGGTTGGGGAAAACATGGACACCAGAACAGATTAGGGCGGATTTAGCATGGCAAGCTAAGTATCAATGGCAAACGGAATTACAAGTTCCAACTACTAAAAAAAGAATGCCAAAAAATTACAGGGATACTAAATTAATTGCGAGACGAACATCATGAAGTTCCCATGGCCGTTAAATTATTATCTGCAGGAATTCGTAAAACTGCAGATTTTTCGAAGTTTACTTTGCAAGAAAAATTACGAGAAGGAACACGATTGGCAAATCGCATCTTACATTCTGCTCTGGAATTAACTCATCCACAGCCCCTTGTTGTGGCTGATGTTTATATTTTGGTAATTCAAGGTATATACCAAATTAAAGTTTTCCAAAAGGGGCAGCTGGTTTGGATAACAGGTGCCAACATTCCATCTGCATGGAAAACTCTTACTTATGCAGAACAAGAAGCTTGTGTTTTGACAAAACATGGCAGTGGGTTATTAGAATTAGAAATTTGCCAATATCAGATATTTACTCAATATTTGGATTTGCGATTAATCTGGAATTCAGACTGGAATTATATTTGGCCTCATTTTCCCAAATTAAAGATAGCTCGGAAATTAGAAATGTTAATATCTTGCGTCAAGGAATTTAATCTTCTTTCAATAGAGACTTTTTTGTCAGGTTTTGTGGAATGGCAATGGGCCAGGATGGGTAATGATACGGATCCACCTGCATGGATTTTTTCCGATGGAAGTAATACAGGGTGTGTGACAGTTTGTCAAAAATGTCAACTAAAAGCCCGAAGATATAACAATGAAAACGCACAGTACAATGAGGGATTCGGTATCTTATGCGCCTTACAACATTGCGCAATTAATCATTCTTTGGAACAGATTGTTTTAGGATTAGATACTCAATATGGGATCAACAGACTGTTGATTATCCATAAACCAGAATTTTCTGAAATTACACATAATCATCAGAAACTCTGGATGGATATTAAAAAGCAAATACAGAGATTGGATAAAATTTTGTTATTGTGTAAATTTATCTCACACAAAGATAACACCTTTGATCGGGTAATAGAACCAGCCTGGAACATGATGACGCTGGATTCTGATATTGAATTGGCCAATAGAGTTATGGATATTCATGAGAAATTGGGACATCTGGGACCAGTAAGACTGTATAATTTAATAAGGAAATATGAAACTGGAAAACCGGTACCTATGGTCCAACAGGTAAAGAATGTATTAAAATGGTGTGATATTTGTCATAAATGGAATATACAAGGAACCCACAATAAATGGCAAAAAGGGGCTTATGACCCAGCTAAATATATTTTGAATGAGGTCTGGCAAATTGACCACATAGGGCCATTACAGGGAGCGAAAGACTATAAATATGCCTTAACATGTATCGACTTAGCCACGCGTACCCTAATGGTCGTGCCTCAAAGAAATTTAAGTTCCTCTAATACTATTAAAGCATTGCAACTGTGTTTAGCTAGTAAAGGACAACCTGGGCAGATTTTATGCGATAATGAGCCAGCTTTCACTTCTAGGAAATTTCAAAATTATTGTGATAATACTTATCCTAGAATACACATACAATATGTTGTGCCATATACTCCGCAGAGTAATGGGGTGATAGAGAGAGCAAATGGAATCTTTAAGAACTTGTTGCGTAAAGAATTAAATTTGGAAAATTTTAAAGGATGGACCAAAATTTATTTAAAGTGTGTAATTATTTATAATTTAAGTTATGGTTTAAATTATGTACCTTTTCCTCAGATGATAGTACAAAAGCATAGAAACCAGGTAAAATTTCCGCCTGATACTGAAACTTGATTTCGTATTCCTCAGTCCAAGGCCAGACAATTGGGAAAAGTTTTTGAATGGCTGTCACCTACAATTGTGCGGCTCAAAGACTCTGAGGGGAAAGAACATATTGTACATATTACAAAATGCAAGTTCATCCAAAAGTAATCGAGAAGCGAGTGCTTCCCTTGTGTTTAAATTGCAGGAAGAAGAAAAATATTGTCATTATGGAAAGCATCAAAATATTTCTATGTATCCTGGGATTGTTTGTCCTCATGAATGCTGAAGATAAGTGTACAGACTGTACACAAGATTTGACATGTTGGGTTAATACGACATGTTTTATAGTACTCAATGGAACTAACTTTACTACCGACCTCTATATGCAATGGATTAATGATTCGGGCATTCCTGCTGGATGTTTCGGACATTTCTACTGTAAGTTGGACGGGAATAGAACTCTGGTTTATAATCTTACGGGAATGGATGGACTGACTTTAAATACACCCATTGGAAAGCTTACAGTTTTTTGGACTATGAACCAATGTAACATAACCGATGCAGTTCTTCAGAATTGGAAGATTCCTTGGACATTGTAGTGGAGCACTAGGGTGCTTGTTACTAGTAGGGGCAATGCAGGCTTAGCTGCCAATCAGCAGGGCAGCGCAGCTGAAGGCAGTGCTTAGGCAACAGAGTTGGGTCAGCTGACTGCCAAGGGGCAGGGCCGGGCCTTTATAAACAGCCCAGGCCGGAGCCCAGCTGGCAGTTACCATCTCGCAGCCTGAGAAGCAGGAGCTCTGCAGAGGGACAGAGCAGGGCAGTTACCATCTCGCAGCCTGAGAAGCTGGAGCTCTGCAGAGGGACAGAGCAGGGCAGTTACCATCTTGCAGCCTGAGAAGCGGGAGCTCTGCAGAGGGACAGAGCAGGGCAGTTACCATCTAGCAGCCTGAGAAGCAACAGCTCTGCTATAGAGCTGAACGTTGCGTGACCGCGTGAGTGCCTGCAGAATGGCCTGGGAAGGAGAGGCCTCTGACAGGGAGGCCTGAAGGAGAGCCAGGGCAGCGTGGAGTTTTATAGCTGGTAGGCTCATTTTGGGTTACAGCCGGGTTGGCTGGAAGTTTGTGTTATGGCCGAGAGGCTTTGCGTGTCGTTGTTGTTTTGAGAAGTTATGGTAGCCCTGGAGGGGGAGGCTTTGGTTTTGCTGTGATACCACCGGAGGACCGGGTGAGGCTGTAGGGGTGCGAGGAGGCCTCACGGGAGCTCCCCAGTAGTCCGGGGGTTCCTGAGTGCCCTGTTCCGGCACAGAGCAGGGTCTGGGTGGCACGGCTGTTTGGCGCCGGTGTGGCGCGATGTGTGGGGGTTGAGAACCCAGCCCGAGGGCGGTATTCTGCCCAGTCGGGTGAAGGACCCCGAGAAGGGTCAGGGGGCCAGGCACGGCTGCGTGCCACCTGAGCCCCGAGTGCGGTTTAGCGTGGGACAGAGCCCAGAGAGGGCAATAGTTTGGAAAGCGCGTGTATAGGCCCGAGTGCAGGTGAGTGTAAGAGGCCGGAGTAGGGCAGGCATGCGGTTAGAGGCCTGAGGCAAGGCCGGAGCGTGCGGGTGAGAGCCTGAAGAGGGCGATTACACTAGCCAAACCCCGGATGGGGCAAGACTGGGCTTGTGCAGCGAGGGCGCGAGGAGTGTGGGACAAGCCCCAGAGAAGGGCGAGGGCGCGAGGAGCGTGGACGTAGGCCCCAGCAAGAGCGAGCACGAGAAGCGCGATTAAAAGCCCGGAGTAGGGCGAGCACGCAGGTGGAGGCCCGAGGCCGGGCCGGCACGTGCGATTAGAGCCTGAAGAAGGGCGAACACACAAGTAAGCCCCAGAGAAGGGCAAGGGCGCGAGAAGCACGGGACAAGCCCCAGAGAAGGGCAAGGGCGCAAGAAGCATGGACATAGGCCCCAGCGAGGGCGAGGGCACGAGAAGCACGATTAAAATCCCGGAGTAGGGCGAGCGCGCAGGTGGAGACCCGAGGCCGGGCTGGCGCGTGCGATTAGACCCTGAAGAAGGGCGAACACATGAGTAGGCCCCAGAGAGGGGCGAGGGCTAGCGAACACAGGGGCGCTAGAGCAAGGGGTGTCGGTTGCGTGACAAGCCCAGGGGTGCCCGAGGAAGGGCGTGGGTTGCATGACAAGCCCAGGGTGCCAGGCAAGGCACAAGTGACCAGACAACGTCCGGAACAGCTGCAAGGCTTGGGGCATGCTAAAGGGGAGGTAAGAGGCACGCATAGCCCATAAGGCTAGGGGGCACCAGGTCACCCATAGGGAGTACAAGCCCGGACAATTATAACACCCAGGACTAGGAGATCAAAGGCAGCCTCCCATATTAAATTATATGTCATCAAAGACGTGGCCGGTGAGAATCAGAGGGTGCTGGATCTCCTAATTTGGCATGGCATGGCAGGGGGTGCTAGCGGGATCAATGTTCAGTCCCAGTGATTCAACAAAATGATCCTATAAGAAGATATTGTAATGGTACTTGGAACCCTTTATGTTCATATAATGTTACTAATTGTAATTATGTAAATACTACGGGTACTTTTGTTACATTACCTGAAACCTGTTATTCAACGTTTGAACAGGTATTATCTCATAATTGGTGTCAAAAGGCCAATATTACTGTCAAAGTAGTTAACTTACCATTAGGGAAAGGGTGTCAGATACATAACTTTTCTCTTATTGCAGGAACTTCTAAGTATGAGCAAAATAAAAACTATTCAGGTAGTTATCCTGTACTAAATAATACGGACTTATCATGGATCTGGTATAAGTCTAACTGTTGGGAAAGAAATATGAATAACTGCTCACAATATAGTAACTGCTCTTCATGCTTTTACTTAAACGACTTTACGTATGTGTATGGAGCTACTGGTATGATATTAGGAGCGGATCAACCATATCGGATAAGGCAAATAGAAGGATATTACGTTATAGACCCCGATACGTGGCAGATAGATTCAGCTGTCGATGAATGGAGCACTACCCAGAATGAGACATCTTTAAATGCTTCATTATGGTATGCTCAACACCATTGGAAATTGAATTTGACGCTAATATTACCTCATAATGATTTGACACAACTACATTCAATTTTAGATTGTTACCACAGTTCTATGAACCCCCCACAAAAAATTACACTAGAAATGGTCTGTAAGCAGAAAAGATTACTCGCTCAAATTAGCCAATTGACAATGACCAAAAATAACACTGAATTATTACAGAGCATTGTTACGTATACCCAAAACTTGGGAAGAAAGATGCAACAATTAGTTTCCATTGACTTAGATCAAGTAAACCGAACTTCAATGTATGGAAGAACATTACGGAAAATAATTCGGGAACACCCTTGCAATCAATTGGTTAATAATATTACAGTTTGCAAGTTGTTGTTAACGGCTGTTCTGGCAAAAACTCCAAAAATAGGTGGATTGAATCCATTACAATTTTGTACCCCACCAGGAGGCATTTTGGAAGAATCGACAGGTCGAATAACCACTGAATGTTTAATTCCTGATGGAATAATGTGTCGCTTATTTGCTCCTCAAATGATACAGCCATTATTAGTAATATGTAATCAGGATAGTCGGGCCAAGTGCTTGACTAACACTACTTAACATTATGTGTGCAGCAAGATCCAAGACGGACAGCAGATGTCGCTCCCATATCGGCTGTGGGAGATTGTCAGACACCTAACTTTAAAACAGAGAGGGGTGCGTACATGGAAATTTACTTCAGGTACCGTCTTATGCCTCAATTTTAATTGTTCTGTTATTCACGGAAGTTCTTTAGTTACATATAAAGGACACAGTATTTATATTCATCATGGAAAAGCACATGTGATAATACAAGAATCTAATTTACTCCAAGCAGATTTTTGGCAAATATTATTAAGCGATTTAGATTTAACATTACATAACCAGGGAATTGATGTGTTGAAACTCCAAAGGTTGGGCAATGAACTAGAACTGTGGCTCTCTTCAGGAGAATACATAAAAGAAGATTTAACTAAGTTTATTTCTGTGATTTATCAAACTGTTTCAACCACTAGTCAAACTCCCGAATACTTGCAGGCAATCTTGGAAGGACTTAGTAAACCTTTTTACTTGGCTGGGTGATATTGCCCAACAAGCTAAGGAAACAATTGTCAAACATATGCAGACCTCCAATAGAGTTACAGAGGGAACGTCTAATCTTATTTGGCAAATGGGGGACAGTATGTGGATTTTTGTTGTCATTTTAGGTCTTCTTGTAATTTGTATTGCAGTTGGAGTTTTGTTAAAATGTTGTTATCCTTATTTACAAGGATATGTTAAGCTTTCTAAATCAGAAATAGCAATTTTTATCGAGGAGGAAGGGGTGATGTGAGAGAGTGCTTATGCTAAGCA